TATATATATATATATATATATATATATATATATATATATATATATACTCTATCCTTTTTAAAAACAAAAGAAAACCCTCTTGTACCTTTTTTCATAATTTTTGTTTTTTGAAACACTCCCTGTTATGATGATAAAGTGCTGTTTAGTGCAGAAGGCTGTGATGTGTCTACAGAAATAGGTGTGTTAGATAACACAGGCCAGGCCTGAGCTTTTGTGATGGTGAATGTCCAGTATATCCGCTCAGAGGAGAAGGTCGTTCTCCGATCCTAACATTAGGCTTCTCTGAAAAGTGCTGGGGAGAATCTGTTATGCACAGTGATACATCTTCACTGATGTTGAAGCTATGGAAAGGATGGGAAAGGGAGGAACTTCGGAGATTTGTGGAATGAAGATCAGTCATCAACAGTGTCATGGACAGCTGTGTCACAATACCCGCGACAAAAAGAATTCATTGTAACATAGCCCAGGGCCAGAAGAATAGTAAATCCTGTCATTACACTGATTAGGCAGGCATAAGTGAAAGGATGCTTACAGGCAAAAAGGGTTGCGTTAAGTCAGAAAGCTACAGAAAAATGTTTAAAATACCAATTCGGTATTGGGAAAAATAGGGAAAAGGCATCCTGATCCTTATGGAATTGGCATGTTTTCAAGGATTCTGGTGTACAGAGCTGTCTCATGCAAATAGCATTTTAGATGGTGAAAACTGTGACCAGAAGCCTATAGGAATCCAACACTGTGTTTCCACAGGAAGCAACAGCTCAGTATTCCCTTGTTGATTGAGCACAGCAGTTTCTATGAGGGGAGCTGATTGTGTGCTCTGTGGCTGGATTAAATGACTGATACCAGAGGAGCAGTGCCCTTTGCCTTTGTCATGGACTGTAGAGCAGTGACACTCAGTGTCACCCAGGTTCAATAGTAATTCTTGAGAATGCAATTAAATATCTGGCCATGGCCTGTTTCCAAACATAGCACCCTCTTTGTAAAGAACAAGGTCAAAGGGACAAGCCCTGTTTTGTTTTCCTTTGTGATTTAGCACTGTGGAGAATGAAGTTGTATTGTCTCTAAATCCTTAAAAATCAGCCCAGACACACCAAGAAAACAAGTGTGTAATTAATGTCCAGAGCAAATTTCAGGCTCGAATCTAGTGATTATATCATAATATATCTGAGACTGAAAATAACACAGACTGTCTTCTGAGAAGCTTTTAAACTTCTGTCAGGGATATTAAGGTATTATTAAAGTATATTTGTGTCAGGAAGACAGCGACACTCAAAACCAGCCTTAGTTAATCCTTTCCTGCCAAGAGATTCTTGAGAGACAAATAAAACAAGAAGAAATAAAGGAGGTGGCTTCTTACTCTTTGATATTGACCCTAAAGGCAAACCCCCAGGCCCCACAAGATGATTCAGAACAACCTCTGGGGCAGGATGTAACTGTGTGCATTCCATTCTTTTCTGGAGATTCCATTCATATCCTCCCCAAACCTC